TTTGCCGTTGTATATGAAAAGGTCTTATTCTAAAATTAGGCTATGTAAAGTACATATCATTCTGTCAACATGTATAATTAAAACCTAGCTTAATAGTTATTACTGCATGTTTGCAGTTCTAGACTGAAACAACACGAGAGTAGGGGGAGACATTTGTCTTGAGGAACAAATGGCCCAAACTAACAGCATGCACGTTTCATCTTACTGACGATCGAGTTAAACAGAATATAAGATTAGGCCAAAGAAGCAGGCTAAACCAATACTTATTTAAAGAAATAAACTAACAGTTTAGCAAGGGCCATCTCTTGGTTTGATTCAGGATTAAGCACAGAGGCATGTTAACTGTTCTTCATATCATTATATTACGAAAATGAAATGCATATAGTCCCCGAGCCAACGGGGTGCGCTGTTCCTGGCGTAAGCACGGGGCGAGGGTACTAATTCCGCCCGGCTATTTACACCCAGGGAAAGGAAAGCATTAGCGAAGTCTAAAGTTCATCAATGATCGCGGGCGTGGGTCACTGTGCGTTTTGGGTTTTGGGTGGGTGGTCATCTCACTGATCTCAAAATATGGCTGTTTGCCAGGAAAATACATGTCACATAACAAATTGTAAAACTTTTTTACCATTTTTAAACGTAAACATTTATAAGAATTGATTTAGTATGAGAAATCCTAACAAGGCATTTTTTAATACCATGGACTGGTGGAGGCCCCACTGGGTCCCTTCCTCTGCCCCACCACTGAAGAAAAAAAATGACCTATTGCCACAAAGCTAGGGCCCTATGACCAGTATTGAGTAACTGAGTTTAACTTAACATTGAAAAGAAGTTTAATTAAGAAACAAAATTTGTTGGCGAGCATACTTAAGGTGGCTCAATACAGTTTTTCAAAAAATGGAAAATTCACGATTTTGATGCGTATTTGTGGACAATTATTACTTGTTGATAAACACTACTTATATACAACAACATCTAAAGAGTTTGAATTTTTGTAGAAAGGTTACGCAACTGCCGTTGCTATGGCAACAATGACATTTCAAGATGGCGGATATTTTGGCTTTAAAGTAATTTAACTCGTAAACGACATCGGTGACCCCCAAATTATATAGTTTTAAAAAGTGATTTCTTTTAGTACAATTAATTATAGTTAAAAATATTATTGCCCAGCAAATAACTCGTAAAAGAGGCATATTCAAAAAACATTTGGTATATAAATTTATTGAGTAACGTTTCGTCACATTACAAGCGACATCATTAGACTAAATGCAGTTAAGCTATTTCATCTATTTTATAACAAATTTTGAAAAAATATATGATACACAATTACAAACGGTTAAAAAGTTAAAATTAGAAATATACAATGTTCATGGTATATTTAGATGTACAAGATACTGAGATTAGTGAAAGATATAGATTAAAAAAGGAATGTCAAGTGGTTAGCGTCAGTGTTAAAAGATGTTAGTAGATTAACAAGAGGAAATACCTAGTTAGAAGAGTGTTAACGGAAAAGATCGAACATTATTATTAAGCCATGGTTTAGTTTGAGCAATTAGTAAACTTTCTTTAATAAGAATATCATGGTTAGAATTAGCTGAAGTAACAATTTTAAAATCACTTACCTTGGTTAAATTGGATGACCGGCTGAACCAAGTGATTCTAAAATTGTTACTTCAGCTAATTCTAACCATAATATTCTAATTAAAGAAAGCTTACTAATTGCTCAAACTAAACCATGGCTTAATAATAATGTTTGATCCTTTCCGTTAACACTCTTCTAACTAGGTATTTCCTCTTGTTAATTTACTAACATCTTTTAACACTGACGCTAACCACTTGACATTCCTTTTTTAATCTATATCTTTCACTAATCTCAGTATCTTGTACATGTAAATATACCATGAACATTGTATATTTCTAATTTCAACTTTTTAACCGTTTGTAATTGTGTATCATATATTTTTTCAAAATTTGTTATAAAATAGATGAAATAGCTTAACTGCATTCAGTCTGATGATGTCGCTTGTAATGTGACGAAACGTTACTCAGTAAATTTATATACCAAATTTTTTTTTGAATATGCCTCTTTTACGAGTTATTTGCTGGGAAATAATATTTTTAACTAGAATTCGATTTCCGCCTGGTGTTTCTATTGCTGATATATTACAATAAATTATTTTGATAATTTTAAAAAAATTCTGTGGAGCCGAAATTTTTTAAATTACGAAAAGGTGATTATTCATATTAATTTTTTTTCGCTCCACAGAATTTTTTTAAAATTGTTAAAATAATTGAATATACTAAGAGAAGTAATTTTTTAAAATAAAATTTGGGGTCACCGATGTCATTTACGAGTTAAATTACTTTATAACCAAAATATCCGCCATTTTGAAACGTCATTGTTGCCATAGCAACGGCAGTCGCGTAACTTTTGAGCAAACATTCTAACTCCTTAAATGTTGTTTTATGTAAGTAAGGCACTTTTTGTTTATCGACAAGTAATAATTGTCCAAAAAATACGCATATAAATCGTGAATTTTCCATTTTTAAAAAAACTGTATTGAGCAATCTTAAGCCCCGGCCGCCGGTTTACACTACGCTCAATTTTTGGTACGGTACGAATAAAATTGGTACCCGTACCACTTTTTTGGTTCTTGGACTGCCTAGTTAGGTAGTCCAAGAACCAAAAAGTCGTACGGTACCAAAAATTGAGCGTAGTGTAAACGGGGCTTAAACTTAATATGTTGCGTTTAGATGTTTAGCATGCAATTTATTACAAATTTTACCATTAAAACTTTGTTTTGAGAAGCTGAAATACTTTTAAAAACGTGTTCTCAGAATGCAGGAAATGCTATTTCAGAGACCCAAATTAAAAAAATTTCCTGGCTAACGCTGACACCCCCATAGCTAACTCGAGCCTGCGGTTCTCGGCTCACACCTTCGGCGATCGCAAACTATCCTGGGGGGAGAACAAGGAAAATGGGCCCTTTAGCAGTTTTGCCCCACCACTGAAGAATCCTTAAAAAATGCACTGAATCCTAAAGTATAGGGCAAGTTTGTTTCAATTGTTTATGTATGATTTTGTAATAATGAAAACTTTGTTCTTATTTTATTTTTTTATTTTACAATCTTTGTCACATGACCGGTTTAACCCACAGAGCTAGTTGCTCCTTTACGGGTAACCTGCAGATGTTCTTGATGTTCAAGTCTTTCCTATGCATTGTTTGCGAACGCTTCTTAGTTAAATTAACCTTTGTAGAAGTTAATGATAAAAAGGAAAGCAAATTATTTTCATTAGTGTCCTGTACGAATGAATTTATTTCATTTCAAAGTGCGAGTAATAAGTTGAAGCGCGAGTTGAAGTGTTCAAGTTTCATCTATTTTTTCTCGGTTTGAACAACAAATTTAAAAAAAACAATTATCGTGCTGCCATGACTATCATGACGTGCAACGCGAGCCTGCGTTCAGTGTTGGCGTAATTACGAATACCTCATGTTGAAACAATGTTTGGAAATGCATGAATTTCCAGTACTTGTATATGTCATTTATATGGCACAGTAATTAATTACGCTGGCCTGTAGGCCAAGTGTCTTAAATCCCTCTTTTTCTGTTTTCTGTTTTCTTCGTCGTCGAGAAATCGAGTTTGCGTTAGCTCATCGCAGGCTCAGGGTGCAACGATTAAGCCAAAATGCCATGCCATCGATTCCCCTCGGTTCCGTGATGTAGATACTATAATAACAAGCTCGAATTTAGTATAGGTAATAGCATGATTTCGAGTGCAATTTGGATATAACATGCACAAGTGAGTTGTTCAAAGACCTCAAAATAGCACGAGTCCAAAGGACGAGTGCTATTTGAGGTTTTTGAAAAAATTACGAGTGCATATTTATCCAAATTTCACGAGAAACCTTTCTATTACTTATTAATAATTTACATAAAAATGTTCGAGACAATTGTAGTTTTGACTTACGCGTTCGTAGCGAACATTCCTCGGGCAACATTTTCTTGGCTTTGTTATATCACCTTATACAACGCTACCACCTTGAAAATTCCACTCAACTATGTAATTTTTGTTAGTCTTGTTTTCCATTTGAAAATAAAGATAAAAGCCATATTTTCCATGCAAAGTAACTTTTACTTTATGTAGCGCGGCGCCATGTTTGTTTTGTATTGAAGCAATATGTGACCGTTACTTCTTTAAACTAAATTTCTAAAAACCGATTGGTTGATTTAGTCATCACAATCTTTTTCCACCAATCAGATCAGTTTGTTACAGATTTTTGCACTATGATTACAGAAAATTGCACTGTGATTACAAAAATTTGCACTGTGATTACAGAAAATTGCCCTGTGATTGCAGAAAATTGCACTGCTGTTTGGGATTAACTTCACTGAAATCATCCAATCACAGTCGAGTTAAATCTTTCTGTATACTTTATGTACGTAATAGCCGGCTCATGCCATGCTTGTGGTACATTTTTCGTTTTATTAGCCCATACACTTGTACGCACGCGCACAATTCCCAACTCCAAGGATAGAGTGCTCCAGTGGCATATTCAGTTCAGTTTCAAAATGGCGGTTTTTCAATGAGCGATCTAATATATATTTCACGCAGTTTCGTTGAATTTTCAAAGAATTGTGCCGGTTTCCTATGGAAAATACGTTGTGTTGCACTCTGGACTCTCTTTGTGTAACGACTCGAAAATCCCAAAATTTGGACCTAGCGAATTTGTATAGGAAATTACACGGTTCGAGAAGTATTAATGAAAAATCGCACGCGTGTTGCCGCGTATTATAAATATTTCGCCAAACACAAGTGCGATTTTTCATTAATACTTCGAGAACAAGTGTAATTTCCTATTAATGTCATTTTAGTCAATTTACGAGTACAAAAAGTATTTTGTTTACAATATATTTATAATTTAATTTGTTCGCATAACTTTACTTCCCATAACTTTACCTCGCATAACTTTACTTTTTATAATTTAATTTATTCGCATAACGACGTTTTTGATATCTGGTTGGGACATCTGCATGTTGGTGTTCACCGTTATGTTCATGGTAGAATTTTCCATATTTTGAGCCAAATTTGCCAGATTAAGAACTGGGAATTGCCGTTGTTGATCAGCCATGGAAGATGTGGATGTACAAGGAACGACACTGATGTTTCTATCCCGTATTTGTAGAGGACCAACTTTGCTTCCATCGCCGACGCCAGTGAGAGTTTCTCTACCGCTGATGATATTTGAAAGTTGCTTCGAGCGAACGGTGGAGAATGAATCTACATAGTCGTCCAGAGATTTCTCGTTTCGATGCCCTGTAACTGACACGATCTGCGCTCGGGGAACATTTGCGTCGTCCAGCTTTTTAACAACGGTTTTTCTGGCGCTGCGGTTTGTTAAACGCTTTCCGGCCAAGAAAGATAGGCATTTAACCATGTTCTTGTTGTTCTTGACGTATTGCGAATACTAGCTTTTGCGTAAAATGATTTAACTTCATCTTCGGTTAATCGAGGAAAACTTTCCTTAGACAACTCTTGAACAACCCCAGTTTCATTATTGTCAATTTTAGAATCATTTTCGTCTAAAGAAGCTAACAAATTGTCAGTTTCAAGGTAAAAAATTCAACAAAATCCATCGTTGAATGTTGACAAACATTTTTTGTTTACATAACAATTAAAACCTGCGGGCTCGTATCCGTGCCGATTAATCTTTAATCGGCACACTTTGCCGATTAATGTTTAATCGGCACGGTTTTTAACCAATCAGAATCGAGTAAATTGACTACGATGATATTAAAACAATAATATAGTGGATTAAGTGGAATATAAACAAGGACAAGTTTGAGGTTTGACAGTTTGACTTTTTAACTAACAAGCGTTGTGCACTTGTGTTCATTTGCATAATTATAGATTTCCACCTAATTACATTAATTTGCGCCAGATTACTTTCCATTTCATCATATATTACTATGAAATGTTTTTTATTGTGATCAGCGAGGTGGCGTTGCGTGCGGCAAAGTCAGTGAAACGTGATACGGTTCAATTTGTTTTTGGATCAAGATCCAATTCCCCCCCCCTTTTTTAATTCTCAAATTGTTTATTAGATGTTTACTGGTTGGGGTTAGAGAAGCGCTTTGGGTTGGGATCAGTTTATCTTATAAATGGAAGCAAATTGGCGTATTTTTTTTTAGAAGAATCGTCTATGTCTATGAACTTTTTAGCACCTGAAACTAGCCGTATAATGGCATTAAAAATCAAGGATTATACTAATTTCTTCGCTATTATTGGCCCATCATTATTTATACGGTTGATAGTTGATGATCATAGTTACAGTGGCCTGGCTTGTCAGGTACGCCTGAGCCGGCCTCTCGGTATATTGTGGTTGATATATTGCTGATCATGATTGTATTTATTGCTTGTATTAATATGGTCCAGACCTCCTATATCCCTATCTATTTCTTTACTACACATTACACCCTACCACTAAAGTTGCCATTTTCAGGCCAGTGTGAACGCCTGAGAAGGCGTCTTGTTTAATTTATATGCCATACTTAAACGCAACGTTATTTTTATGTTTAATTATCAGGAAAGTAGTCGCGCGAGGATAGAATCTTATTATTTTATCAACCTGATATTCATATTTGCTGTGAATGTATTCTCGATCTTTCTCTCAGGAATATGTTTAAGAATTATATTCCTTGGTCATACTCAGTTTCTGGAGGTCTGTATAACTTCGAAAGAAATTATGTTATTTCATGATAATGGTTTTGTTCTGTTGCGATTTGCTTGCGGTTTTAACAAATAATCCATTGATGGCCCTTATCGCTATGTTATGGTCGACGGGAAAGTTGGATGTAAATCCAAGATCGGTTTATATTTCCATAAGATCGGCAGGTATTTTGCTTGGTTTTTAATATTTCGCTCTTTTGGTAATGAATTTCGATCGACATTTGGCGGTATCTTACCCCATCTTTCATCGAATATGGCGGACTGTCATGAATAGCGAACATTGATTGGTCGAGTTTAAAATTTGCATTATAACGACTGCATGACGACAGCGAAATAGCAAACATTTCTTGATTTGATGATTTCTTGCAAATATATTTCATTTTTGCAAGATTTTGTCAATTTCAAAAGCTTTTTGATAAAATAAAGGAGAAATAAATTGCTAAAAGAAGGGAGCAAAGTGGCCGACGTTAACGACGGTAAGTTTATCGTTTCAAACCCAAAGTTTATCGACACAAGCAATTTAGTTTTATAATGAACATTTTAAGACATTTTGCGAAGCGTTTGTGGTTGAATTTTATCTTAAAATTTAAATTGAAGCTTATAGTACGTATCATAACATACCTAACATATATATATGTTTGGGAAATTGATAATTTTGTATTTAAAAGTGATATTTTTAGGATATTTTTCATGTTGGAAAAATATTCTTAAATAATCGTGTACATGTTACCATGACAACTATTTTAAATACTTCATGTTCGAAAAATAGAATGGTTTTGTGAGCAAGGTGGGGGGTTTCTGCATGCATGTATTTTCTAGTCTGATTATTTGTATTCTTATCCTTCCTGCAATGTTATTTTAACTTATTTATCAACTACAAGCTGTTTATAGTCGTCAGGAAAAGGCGTAGAAACGAAAGAATATCGTCCGATATGAAAAAGACGTTTTCTCTGAAAAACATATCGAGTTGTTTGCTATAGCAGTCGCTTGTCTTGGGGTGGTATCTATTCCACTGGGCACTGGGCACTTACATTGCAATAAGAATAAACTCGTCAGAACAACATGTATATTTTGAATATTGCAAACCTTGCAGCGATCTGGGCTGTAACAATAGCTTTGATGATTTGCAGATTTAACTGTTTAATCTTTTACTGGAAAAACAAGGCGTTGCGTACCGAAGGATTGAAAGTTCTGAAAAGCCTAAAAATTTGTTATATGTCGACGAGTCGAATACTAGCTACACTAATAACCCTTCTTCAAAAAAACTTAAGGTGGCTCAATACAATTTTTTTAAAAATGGAAAATTTGCGATTTAGATCGGTATTTCAGTTTGGACAAGTATTACTTGTTCAAAAACAAAAAGCATCTAATTAAATCTAATTAACTTATGAAAAACAGCATCCAAAAAGTTACGCAACTGCGATGGCTATGGCAACAATGACGTTGATAACTCGAAAACGACATCGGTTGCCTTCCATTCCTGAAGATGACTAAAATATAGTACATTCGAATAAAACGTAGAAAAATGAAAATATTTTCATTTCTATAATTATTCATTATATGCAGGGTGTATAAAAAATTTGCCATGTTATTGTGCGTTAAAAGTATTGGGTATCTGGATTTAATTTTCCCATCCTAATAAAGATGAGTAGACCTCTAGCTATCGAATGAGATATTTTTTCTATCATTGCGTTAAAAACTGAACGCGACCGATTTAAAATTGCCGATTATTCTGCAAATTCCACAGGAAGCCCAAGCGTTGATCTGTGTCTGTGTTGTATGTTTTTCAGTTTATTAATTTATTTTGGTGTTTTTATATTGCCTTTTAATTGAATTCTAACACTACATTACACTAATATGTCGTATAATAATAATATAATACTCCTATAGTCGAACATATAATAACAACATGTATAAGTTGATACAATAACAACATATAAGTCGAACCTGACAAACCGTTCGCAAGATACGTATAGGTTATTTTGAGGCAACGAGGGGATATGTGATTTATTCACCGAGGCGCGCAGCGCCGAGGTGAATAAACACATATCCCCGAGGTGCCTCAAAATAACGTACTTATTTTTCACACTGCGAGGTCGCGTTAATGAGTCAGAAAAGAAATAATTCTCAATGCCATATTGCCTTCGTTATGTTGTTTTTTTTCTCATTTTTTGTGCTGCAAAGACATTGCAGGTAAATATTAGAGGGGATTATTAATTGCAGGTGAATATTAGAGGGGATTATTAAACGGAAATTGATTATAGGGTAATATTGAATATATTCCCCGACAAGAACAAAGGAAACCGAGCAGGGTGAAAAATAAGCGGCGTTATTTCTCACTGCCGCCTCTTATTTCAAATCGCGCGTGTCTCACGCGTGTTTTCTGCGAACGGGCTGTCAGGTTCCAAAGGCGGTGCTTTTATTCATTTTATATAAACATACAAATACAAATCAACTTATATGTTATGCTTGTGATGTTACTTTGAGTGTGTATCCACACCGGGCAGGCTTGAAAAATATTGCCTGGCCACGGTGGGAATCGAACCTACGGCCATTGGAATACCAGCCCAATGCTCTGCCAACTGAGCTACGCGGTCAGGTCGATTCGAGTATGTGTTATTTCACGTATTCCAAAGGTCGTAGGTTCGATTCCCACCTTGGCCAGGCATATGTTTCAAGCCTGCCCGGCGTGGATACACACTCAGAGTAACATCACAAGCATCTTATTCACCTGAGTACACAACACCAACACAACAAATCAACTTATATGTTGTTATTATATTTTTTGATTATAGGAGTATTACTATTATTATATGACATATTAATGTAATGTAGTGTTATAATTCAATTAAAAGGCAATATAAAGACACTAAAATAAATAAACTGAAAAACATACAATGCCATGATAATTGCAAACGCGTGTGTCTGATTGCTGAAATTATTATCTGAAAGATAATAGCCATAATAGTCAAAATTCAAAAGAATACTCAAATAATCAAAATACGAATAATCTAGTCTTGATAATTAAATTTTAAAGATGATTAAACTCGCGATTCGAGAACGAAATTTTGTGGATAAAACTATATCCTTATTGATGTTAATTTTACGATACAGTTAAACTGTAATTAGCATAAAAGTTTCGGGGTAAAGAAATACAATTCCAAGTAATAGCTTACAGTTTACATTTTGGGGTTTCCCCCGTGATTTCTGTGTTTCCTTGTAACTGATTACGCTATACATTGCCATTTTGAATTTGGATGCATCCGATAAATTCTTGGAAGTCAGAAGAGATTCCGCCCGCTAAGCGTAATAGAAAAATATATAGTTATGTACATTATTTCTCTTCTTACGCGTAAAATTATACAGATATTCGACAGTTCTCATGGATGAAAGTGAATCGGTAAGTGAATATCTAAAGTTCATTCGTTCCATTTGATTGAATACAATAAATATACTTTGAAATTTGGATGAGAATATTCCATATGTGTGTGTGGTGATTAATGTATAAGGATTGTAAATACTGTGTTTTCGTCGATACCCGATACCAGTCAATGTTTTGGTGCCGCTCGAAAATCCTTTTATTTAATAGACGTCAAGCTGACAGGCCTAGCCTACAGACGTGAACCACTTTAAAATAAAGCTAAATGATTTCATCATAATATAAAGCTTTATAAATAGTAACAAGCTTTCGTTATTTATATTGGCACTGCCTACACTGACACAGACAGTTCATGGAAAATTCACGATTTAGATGCTTATTTTTGGACAATAATTACTTGTTCATAAACAAACAGAATCTTCGATATAAAACAACATTTAAAGGTGATCGACAGTCCGTATGTAAACAAATCCTTTGTTTACATTTTTGTGTCCAAAATATTGAGCTTTATTCGACAACTATTTATATTTTCAAGCTTCTAGAGTATAATAAATGATCAAGAAACAACAATCAGGCTTTTCAAGAACTCAAAACATAGTTAAACTGTTTGTATCATAAAAAGTGGGCTCATTTGTGCACATGCGCAGATCGGACTGTAGATCTCCTTTAAAGAGTTTGAATTTTCGCAGAAAAGTTACGCAACTGCCGTTGCTATGGCAACAGTAACTTTCAAGATGGCAGATATTTGGTTTTAAAGTAATTTAAATCGTAAACGACATCCGTGATCCCCGAATTGTATAAATGATTTCTCTTAATATAGTCAATTATTTTTGCAAATTTAAAAATTTATGTGGTGACAAAAAATTATCATGAATAATCCGCTTTACGTAATTTAAAAAATTTTGGCCCCACGTAATTTTTTTAAAAATTGCCAACGTATTTCAATATATCCTAAGACAAACTATTTAAAAAAATAAAATTTGGGGGTCACCGATATCGTTTTAGAATTAAATTACTTTAAAGCCAAAATATCCGCCATGTTGAAACGTCATTGTTGCCATAGCAACGACAGTTTCGTAACTTTTGTTGCAAAATTAGACTCTTTAGTGGATGTTCTACATAAGGAAGATGATTTTTGTTTTTGAACACGCAATACTTGTCCAAAAATAGGCATCTAAATCACAAATTTTCCGTTTTTAAAAAAACTGTATTGAGCCACCTGAAATAGTATCCTATTTCATAGTCCTCACTTGTCTCTCCAGTTTCTTTAGAGATACAGATTATTCTATAGAGATAAGTGTTATACAGTTAAAATGAATATACTAAACACATATAGCATCTGCAGACAGGATGACATTTGACATCTCTTGTTATGTAAAAGAATGTTGAAGAAACATATATTATCTTATTTTAAGAAACGATTTCGCCAAAAAATATATCCTTTGGAATAAAAAATGCAAGCATTTAAATTAAACACCAGAATAGAATGTCATTCCTAATCCTTGTCGTTAAGTTTTAACAATTTTTAAATTTTCCTTCAAGAAAATTTAAGAAATCATTTCTTATCAACCATTATTTTTCTTAAGAATTTGATTTGTTGTTTTAAGAAACTAGTGCTTAGAAATCTTATTATCTTAAGAGATGATATTATATGAAGATGAAGAAATCGTAAGAAGACATTTTTTTTAAGAAAACAGATGTAATTTAAGATATATATATTAAGAAAATCTGTCTTATTTCAAGAAAAAATGTCTTGCAAATCAAATATTTTGGAGTAAGAAACATTTTTTCTAACAGAGTTCATCAAAATTGCTCTGAAGGTGAAAGCTCTGTTTTACTCATTTACTCGAAACTGTATTAAATTCATACGAAAATAAATAGAAGACAAGATTTCCATACAATCTTAATAATTATACATAGCCTACTTAAGAGTCGTTTTCCTTATTCTCATTTTTAGAAATATTTTCTTAAATTAAGAATTCTTTTCTTCAAAGAAAATAATTTTTTGCTGTGTGTGAGCCTCAAATTTGCTTTTGAAACTTATAATTAATCCGAATACGATGGTTAACCAACTACAATCTTTATCGTGGTTTGCTAAAAGAGCGGTAAACTGGTCATTACAAACGACCAAAGGACTCCAATTTAATTAAAACAATGACTAGACCCATCATTTACCAATAATTGTTGCTATAACCCGCGTTTAACGTTTATGCTCCAAAAATTATGGCAATATACTCGAATTTCTATTTATATGGCCGATTTGAAGATTGTCGGGCGACCCATTGCTTCTCGTCGGCGGTTGTCATACTATAATAACCAGCGAAAAGTGATGATTGCCTATATGAAAACAGGTGTTTAGACAACCGTTGTAATATAGCGGCTGTTCGACCTGGATGTTTGAAGGTGCGTAAGGGTGCTGAGGATACGCTAATTAATATTCATACCAGGGCGAAGGGAGAGAGGGCGTAGAAACGGCCATACATCGAGCGGACCCATCCGTGATGCGGGCTTCGCGGGGGGTAAGACGTTCTAATTGTAAACAAATATGGCTACGCGTATATGACCGATCAGAAGGTATGCTGAAACTATTGCTTCATAAAATATTACTTGTGTAAAATTTATATGTTTTTGTTACTTTTAGCTATTACAAGAAACTTAAAGATAAGATTTAAGTAACGAAAAACTTTATTTCGGGTGTTATTTTATTTTTATACTCTGTTTAATTTGGTGGTTAAAAATGGCCGTCGAAATGTTGTAAGAGAGTGTTAGCGCGCACTGCTTCCTGATAAAAAACCAATGATTTCCAAAACCTAAATTATAGTTTGTTATTAAGTTATGATGAAAACCTTTGCGTAGACAAAATTATAGAGTGAGCAAACATGAGACAGATAGGTTTTGAACCTTTCAAAGTTCGAGGTCGAATTGACAGTTGAAATAGTACCAAACTCCAAGCTGAAATGTGCAACTTTATCATGTATATTTTTGTCAATTTTGTTCACTGGCCTTTGTTAAATTCACTTGCAATAGCTCGACATAAGTTACAACATACAAACTGAGCAGAGCCCATGAAAAAGCTATCCATATCCCTACAGTGATGCAACTTCCTTGCTATTTAGAAGTGGTTGCCCATTAATAGTTGAAGAAGAATTGCTATTGTATGCGCTTGTTTGCACTTCCTTTTCTCAAAAAAGTCTACAATATTAAGGCTAAATAGCAGAAAAATATGACCCAATAATCCATGCAATTAAAAATATCTATCAAATTAACTTCAAAAACCATGATTTGAGGAATTATATCTATTCAGGCAATCAACCCATAATTTAGTGACAGATCTTGGGTTTGGTGTACTACAAAACTATATTGACTGAAGTTTTGGAAAAATTTAGCCAACTTTTGAAGGATTTTATTAGGTCCAGTTCACATGAGACTGGAACGAAGTCAATTAACCGGGACCATTTCGTTTTGGTCATATTATATATAATAGATGTTTACATGAGGTCTCAAGTCATTCCGCCTGCTGGACCAAGCCGACTGACTCTCAGACCAGTATGAATTCAGACTGGAATGAATGTTGACATTGGAACAAGTGAACAACACATGCTAACAAAAGTCATCTAATTGCCTGGCAAGGGGAATAAATTGAAAATTTTGTGATTCTCATACTGGTCTCATGTAAACATGTTGACATGCAATTTCAATTTTTATTTCAGTTTGGTTTCATCCTGGTCTCATGTAAACAGGGCCTTACAAGCTGTGATTCAGTATCATTGGATGAGATTAGGGGCCTGTTTATATGATCCCAGGCGGGACGGGATGCTTACCGAGATCCCGCTCGTAATACAATTGCTAAAGAGTGTTTATATGATCCCGCCACTTATCTCGCCTAGACTGGATCTCAGCAACAGATGCCGGGATCCCGCCTAAGAGAGATGAAAAATTCCCATATAAACACTTCATCCCGCCTAGCTGGTATGAAAAATTCCCATATAAACACTTCATCCTGGTTAGGTGGGATGAATTTTTCCCTTTTGGGCATGCGTAAATGCCTTTATTGCAACAAAAATATGACGTCAAGCACCGAATGGTTTCATCCTGGCAATGTATTTTGTCCATATAAACACTAGGCGAGTATCCTGTCTTGGCGGGATGAAAACATCCTGTACCGTCTAGGCGGGATCATATAAACAGGCCCTAAGGAATTGAAAGATTTTATAAGTGAGCAATGCTTAAAAGCAAGATATATAAACAATGAAAGAAATGGCACTAACAGAGCCACAACTTATCCAGAAACTGAATCACAGTTTGCGAGTCAATCCTTCAAAATTTAGTTAAATGTTTCCAAAACTTCAGTCAATATAGTTTTGTAGTACACCCATCTTAAAGGTTCCTTTCAGCTTGCCAAGACCTATCACTAAATTATGGGTTGCCTGAATAGATATAATTCCTCAAATCATGATTTTTGAAGTTAATTTGATAGATATTTTTAATTGCATGGATTATTGGCTCATATTTCTCTGCTATTTAGCCTTAATATTGTAGCCTTTTTCAGGAAAGGAAGTGCAAACAAGCGCATACAATAGCAATTCTTCTTCAACTATTAATGGGCAACCACTTCTAAATAGCAAGGAAGTTGCATGACTGTAGGGATATGGATAGCTTTTTCATGGGCTCTGCTCAGTTTGTATGTTGTAACTTATGTCGAGCTATTGCAAGTGAATTTAACAAAGGCCAGTGAACAAAATTGACAAAAATATACATGATAAAGTTGCACATTTCAGCTTGGAGGTTGGTACTATTTCAACTGTCAATTCGACCTCGAACTTTGAAAGGTTCAAAACCTATCTGTCTCATGTTTGCTCACTCTATAATTTTGTCTACGCAAAGGTTTTCATCATAACTTAATAACAAACTATAATTTAGGTTTTGGAAATCATTGGTTTTTTATCAGGAAGCAGCTGCGCGCTAACACTCTCTTACAACATTTCGACGGCCATTTTTAACCACCAAATTAAACAGAGTATAAAAATAAAATAACACCCGAAATAAAGTTTTTCGTTACTTAAATCTTATCTTTAAGTTTCTTATAATAGCTGAAAGTAACAAAACATATAAATTTTACACAAGTAATATTTTATAAAGCAATAGTTTCAGCATACCTTCTGATCGGTCATATACGCGTAGCCATATTTGTTTACAATTAGAACGTCTTACCCCCCGCGAAGCCCGCATCACGGATGGGTCCGCTCGATGTATGGCCGTTTCTACGCCCTCTCTCCCTTCGCCCTG